CTTATTATTTTTTACTTATTTGTTTTTATTTTTATTTATGTTATTATTTTTTTATACATTTTTTTTTTTACTTATCTTTATTACTATCACACAGGAGCTAACAAGCCCCTGTATGACAGTATGTGCAGGTGACCTGATTGAAAGCTGCGAGTGCAGCTCTCCCATCTCAGTGCGTTTGCCGCTCTGCTCCCCGCTTTCCATCCTGAAATGGACACTATTTTTTTAAACTTTTTTACATTTTGATTTATTTAATTATATCAACCATCGTTGTGAATTAATCTCACTATGACTGCTTGATAAAATAATTCATTCATTTTTGGTTATTATTAGGCTGCTTCAAGCTTAAGAACAGCCAGTAATAATAGAGGTGCACCGAAATAGAAATTTAAAAACCGAAACGAAACCGAAATAGAAACAATTGTCAGGCCGAAACTGAAACCAAAAAGGTTTTTATTTTTTTTAATTTCTAAAATATTTTATTTTTATTTATTTTTTACAAACTTTTAATTTTGTATTTTTTATTTTTATTTATTCATTTTTTATCAAATATTTTTATTTTTTACTTTACTTTTAGGGGCTTCGGCAAAATATTAGGGGTCTAAACAGACCCCTGATATTTCCCTTTTAAAATAGAAAAAGAGATTGAGGACACAGAGTCCTCAATCTCTTTTTCTGTATCCCGTGTTATCAATGAACAGGAATCCTCTATACTGAGTGTTCCTGTTCATTGATAACTTGAGAACAGAGTATGGTTACTATAACCACAATCATGAATGAACAGGAGTGGATGTAGATCACTTCCCATTCATTCATAATTGAGGATATAGTAACCATACTATGTCCTCAATTATGTACAAACACTCAGCCATCACTGATCGCTGAGTGTTTGCTCTCCTCTCTGACACACACTGGGAGGAGAGCTCAGCCTCCTGTGACAGCGCTATCTCCGCTCCCACACCGTACCGCGGCTGAGCGGTGTGGGAGGAGAGACACCGGCTGCTTACAGGGCTCTTGTCCCGCAGCGCTCAGCCGGCTGTCACTTTCTCTCCTCCAGGCTGGGACACACAGCAGCGCCCAGCGAGGAGGAAAGAAATCACGGATGCGCCGATGTATCGGCAGGAAAATGGCACTTTCGGCATTTATCCAAAAGTGCCATTTTCAGTCGATATGTTTCGGCGGCCGATATATATATCTGTGAATCCGTAAATAATAGTGACACTGATCCTGCAGCATTTCAGGATCAGCTGTCACTGAAGGTTTTCTGATCGTTCCAACAACGATCAGAAACCTGAAACATTCTTTCAGGAATAGAAACATTATGTATCTATTGCTGAAAGTTAACAACAACAACAAAAAGCCGGTATACCTCGGGATTTCCTGATCTATGCCAGCTGTCAGAGTGAAGGCAAGAACTGCAAATGCGGCTCTGCTCTCACTGTCACACACCCAATTCCTAAAGGGGATCGGGTGTCTGAAAAAGGTTAACTCTTTCATTAATGGATGCCTTGATACCGCGGCATCCATTAATGAATGGTAACTGCTCATTCTCAGTGGTTACCAGCATTGCAGAGCCGCAAATAACTCGTCACGTACAGTGTACGTCTCCCGTCACGAAGGGATTTAAAGGATTTTTTCTAAAAGTGTGGTTTGTTTATTTACTTTGAATTTTAACCCTTTAGTGAATGAGTAGGAGTACATGTACCCCTTACTCATTCACAAGGGAGGGGGGCGGCTTATGGGGGCCTGCCTAATTAAAGGGATACCCCGATGCAAAATTCTGGTATGGATTTTGGGGAGAACCCCCGCACTTATTTTTTTGTTTTAACTTGGGGGGTCCCTCCTAACATTCCTACCAGACCTAAAGGGTCTGGTACGAATTGGGGGGGAACCTCACTTTTTTTGTCCTCTTCTGCAGACTAAAAGAAAAAAAGTTTGTTTGTTTTTCTCTAATGTCACTTTGCTGCAACAAAAATTTGCCCACAAACGAAATTTCGTCCAGACTACCGCTAACGAATTACGGAATCGGAAATTCGGATTCGTTTGCATTCATCATTTCTGTTATGCGGAAATTCATTCGAAAAATACATCCGAATCTCTGAATTTCCAAAAAATACGTCCGAATAACGAATCTTTCCAAAACGAATTGCACTGAGCAGCACCTTGTTTTGAACTCCTTTGTGAGGTTAGGAAACTGTATGGAGTTTGCATGCTCTCCCTGTGTTTGTGAGGGTTTCCTCCCTTTTTCCAAAGACATGCTGGTAGGTTAATTGGCTAAATCAGCCCTAGTATGTGTGTACATAGGAAACAAAAGGGAACAGAGCGCCACCTCCGTGTGTAAAATCGTTTATTACAATAAATAAAACAAGGGATAAAAGTACTCACAAACAAACGTTTTCATCAGGCTTTAACAACAAACGAGAGGCCACACTGTCTGTTAACCCAACATGGTATATCCCCGACCATGTCACATCACCGTCCACCGACCGCAGTCAGCCAAGATTGGTGCGTTTCAGGGGCAAGCCCCCTTCCTCAGAAACTTTGAGTGTGCAACAGCAAGTGGATTGTTCAGCTGGCAGCCATTAGCGCCAAGCGCTAAAGAAAACTTTTTGTGTGTACATAGGGGCTATGCACATGTGCTGTCACATTCTACGTACTAATTCCTGCGTAAATGGAGAGCTGAGGAGAGTGTATCAGACATGATGTCTGGAATTGCTGACTGTAGAATATGACTGTACAGATATCACACGCACACATTTAAAGAGATACTGTGGTTGTTTTTCTAAAGTAGCAGAGAATGTTTACGGGCAAAATGAATGTGAGGTTATTTTAGGCCCCATTCACACCTATATTTTAGGTGCTATTAGGGATTCCTGCATCAGCTAATTGCATCAAATAGGATTACATGCAGTGTGCCAGCGTTCATATGCAGCGGCTGTCATCTGATCGTTAACTTGATTGACTGACAGCT